ATAACATGATAATGGCACACTGAATTTCACTACATGTCTCGATATTCTCCCGAGTCAGCAGCTTTACAGTAATGACATCATCATTAGGCAATCTTGACTGAGACCTAAGCTGTGCCCAATATCACTGCTTCATTCACTCATCCACTATTCCCAATATAATATCACCTATATAATACTCTCTTATAGTCTGTAGTAATGGTGGATGGGAAATGTATTGCACTATAGGTTGAAAATACAGAGTGACATGGACATTACGTGACCGACAGGAAAGCTCAAATTTCTCTTCTACTGCGATAGTGTGTTTACTTCTGGTTCTGCTCTTGTAATCAATGGACAGCAAAGTAACTAAGAGTTGAGTCCATTTTGAGTCATTTTGCTGGTGTAGTCAGTAGTCATCTACAGGTGACCTAGCAAATCACTACAATAGTGCCCCCCCCAGTGAGGAGTGGTGAACTGCCGGTTCATTAAAGCCAAACCAGCCTCATTTAAAAAAATACTTGAGCTACATCTCCAACAACAGTTGGTCTATTAATGGCCCGTCCGCTTTTTCAATCCTCTGTGGATGATGGATGAAAGTACTCAGTGGTCACATGCTGGGAAAGAGTTTTATATCCATGTCACCAATCTGAGGCCAACATTAAGATTTCCATTTTTTTTTTTATACCTTTGGTTTTTGCCTAATAAAATTTTAAAACAGATCTTGAATTTTTCCTTATTTTCTACATAAAATCACTGTAAACCATAATAACGAAAGAAAACTTCAACACAGAAAGCTGTAACATCTGTTTGGATTGCTCTAGAGGTGATTTGAAGTTCCTCTCTTTGAGTTCTGCTCATTCTTTGGGGCATTATTTATGGGCCTTTTTGGTCTGCTCCTTGAAAAATCTGCTCCAAAGCCTCTGCTGCACTAAATATCCGACTGGCCACATCCTTCTGTCTGTTTTCTGTCACTACCATAAACTTCTCCTCACTGTGAGCTCAGAATAATTCAGTATTGCTCTCATTTGTTTTGGTATGTAACAAGTGATAGCCAAGCCTCTGAATCAGATTCTGATTGGCTGTGACAGCACCCACTAGAGCCCAATACGGCGACGTGACTCTAGACATCACTAGCAAAGATGGCAGATGAGAATGGATCGGTAAACACACAGAGAAAAGGCAGCAATGAGCCAGGCAAACCGTAAGACTTCTTTAAAAATATTTTCTATCTAATAATGTCAGTGTATTGATCGAAATAAGTGACTCACACAGACGACATGGGCTTGTTAGAAAGCGCTGATTCTCTAATTTAATGAGAAAACGGCATGTCTCTTGCTCAAATGGTCGCAGAGTTATGACGCAATAAAGACAACGTGAAATTTTCAAGCGTATACACTCCCATGGGCTTCATAGAATGACCCATCCGATTTTTCAAACCTTTTTGAATGGATAATAATACTCATTGGTTACATGTTGGAGTTTTATATCCATGTCACCATTGTGCTTCAGTTTATTTCGGCTGTCAGAAGTCCAGTTTGCAGTAACTGATGTATTTTCAACTAGGGCTGGGCAATTAAATTGAATCTGAATTTTATTTTTGATTTACAAAATTTCATCCCTCCTATGTGTATCCCACGCTCGAATATCTTTAACTTATATCGTGTATAACGGGAATAACTACATAGACACAACGCTTTTTGTCAATGAGAAATCATGTTGAATAATCATGATCTCAATATTGATCAAAATTGTCATGATTATGATTTTTGCCATCATCAAGCCCTATTTTCAACTATGAATGAAACATTTTCTTGGAAACAAAGTTTGGTGTTATTTGAGTAGGATGACTGAATTTGGTGCCAAATGACAACTTACATTTCAATACAGGCTAGTATATAATGATCTTCCCTTAGTGAGTAACTCTCCTTAGCTGCTGTCATTGTAAAGTATCCACTTACAGCATGTAACACCAGACAGCAAATATGCACAAGCGCTCATACTCCAGGACTGAAACAACAACAACAACAACAACAACAACAACACGTTGTGTGCAAACGCCCCTTCCATTTAATCGCAGCATTCACTAATGCACAGCAGGGAGGCATGGTGAGCTGGTAGCCTGCTCTCCGACCAGAGGACCTAGATTCGAGGCCCTGTGTCAGCCCTGTTCCACTTAAGTCACTGAACTGAACAATTGAAACTCCAGTCATCAGAAAATAGAAAGCTCTAGAGGTGATCTATGACCTTGACCTCTGATCTTCCTGTCAAGAGGGGGAAACTAATACAGTTTCTCTATTGATTCAATATCCTCCTGCTGTAGGTTACACATCAAACCTCCTTGATCAATGTGCCAATAGGTGAAACTCTATACGTTCTGTGAATGAAATGAATAGTTTCCCTAGCACCAAGTCATTTTTAAAAAGAAAAAATGTTTATCCTGTAAAGTAAGATATCAAGAAAAGTATAGTTTTAGTATCAATTTTTAAACCAGTATAAAAAAAAAACTTTAAACATCAGCACAATGTGAAGGTGAGGAAAGCATCAATCAGCTATTAATCAGTCCAGTATGATTAGGAGATGTCACAATGCTGTATACCCTAGTCCATGTCAGACTGATGCAGCATGATCTCGGATCTCAAATAGCATAAGATTAAGTATCACTCATTAAATACTCATCAATTAATATCAGTGGTATTATGCTCAGAGGTACTCTGAGGAAATCTGAAACAGCTCTAATTGGCTTTTGCAGTGCAGTTAAATGTTGTCTGCTGTGCTCTTCTCTCCACAGTAAACATAAAAAGGAAAACCATTAAGACGTCCTCAATGGGTATCTGGTTCCACAGTTTAAACATTTTAAACCTATACTTGAAGCTGATTAGAGCAACTTTCAAAATTGTTGTAGTTTGCTGATCTATTAAAAAAAAAGTCAGTTCACACTACTTCATTTGACATAGAAAGCGTCCATTATTCTGTTGGGTCTGTGAGGATACATTAAAATACAATAACCTTAACATTATTTTCTTAAATTCTGAGTGCCATTAGAGAACAGCAAGTTTCCAGCAATGATATGTCATATCTACTGTGATTTCCATAACGTTCTCCCTGCACTTGATTGTCCTGTAACACAAAGCTGCAGTAAATACGTAGGATTACCAGCTGTACAGGTGCAATCTGTGTCAATAGATACCCACAAATTTACTAATAAGGTCAGAGATATTAAAGGGTCACAAGCCCGGATCCATAATGCTGTTTGATGTTCTTGAGCCACATTTTAAGCACTTCTCTTGGCTGAGCAGCCGGCTTGTCACAGAGTAAGTAGTTGAATTTTCCATCACAATTGTAACCCTAGAGGCTCTCTTCCTGTTTATGTTGAGCTACCTCCAGTTATGACTGTAGCTGGATCACTGGGCACCATATGGCAGAGGGCTTAGAGTTTGTCTCTGAAACAGACATGCATTTTAAGGAGGTGGAATAATGCCATACATTAAAAATGAAACACAAAATTAATTATTAAATTGAAACCGGTGCAAGGGACTAATCATTTTTAAATGTCCTCCTCATTGGCGTTAATGCCATATTATCATATAATACTGTCAGGAGGAAAGCAGACCGTTTTCAGTGTGTTGTGGGAAAAGCAGAACAGTGTGAACACGGGCCAATGCGGTCACAAAATGACAGAGCCAAACGTGTGACAAACAAAATGTCACATATGCCCTGTGAAACACTGAGATCTGTAGCGAGGCTTTGTGTTGTAGCAGCAACTGTCACATGTAGGCTACAGCCTCTTTCTGAGCAGTGAATGTCATGGATTGTCTTCCATGGCCACCCTCTGACTGCATACAATCTACCCTCTCCTCTATTTCTTCTATTTATACTATTTTTCAATGGGGAAGACCTATTAAAATAAAATTTAAAACAATGTAAAGATCAGACTGTCTCCTCATTCTCTGTCCATCAGGTTCCTGTGAAAAGAGGCTGTTGACAGTCGAGCTTGTATTACACACAACAGAGAGATATTTAAAGCATTGCTTCACCTTTTCTAAATGCCATCGTGTAACTCTGGTATTACTGTCATATTTCCTTTTGATTCAAGTCACAAGTTCATGTCAGGACAGTTTCTGGACAATGAGTAAAATGTAGTTTCTAGGGCAGGCAAGACGTTTCTCAATCTGAAAACCATTAAGATCATATGCATGCTGTAAAATTATTTGGAAGCATGTTAAATTCATTTGGCCTAATGTGGGAGTTGTAAATGTGTACCCAGTATCTTAAGTGCATCATTACTGTGTATACTACTATAATGGATGGTGTCAATATGTAGTCTAAAAACCAAACATACAAGGTGGATTGTTTGATGCTGAATTTTAAAGTATTTTTTACCCTTTTTATCTCGATATTTAGGTTGAAAATCAGCAACTCACATGTGCATTCTCATCTGTCTATTATATCTTGATAAAACAGCTTGATACATTTTGTGATTACAGGATACTCCGTATTCTATTCTAAAGTCAAAAACAGCCTCTAAATACAGCACTTAGTAGTTACTTTTACTGGTGGGTTTTTCTATCTATCGCCAACAGTGTTAACGCAGAGTCTGATCTTGATCATATCCAGTAATCCCACACCTACCAGCTCTGTGTAATGACCAGTCTTAATCCAGCACGCGGATTTAAAGTAAAAGATTCTCCTCACTCAGTTAAATTAATATGTAACACAGTCCAGAGTATGTAATATTTGTAATTAAGCCTTTCAGTTCTTCATCTGCATTTGTCTCGCATGCGATCTGGTTAATCAAGCAATCCTCAAAATAGGTCAGGTTTACACGGTGGGACCACAGGAATGTTACATGTTAATGCAAATATTTACATTTACACACTTCTTCCTCTCATCGGTGGAGCTGCTCGTGCTGCAGAACACCACCTGTTCGGCTGAAGCCTCGTTGTTTTCTTACACCTGTTCAAATGAGCTAATCACCAGTGAGTTTGACACGATTACAATCAGCTGTGAGAGACTTCTCTTACCTTTCCACAAGACGTGTAGGCTCCTAACGGCTCATTGTTCCGGGGGAATGAAAAACACTCTGGTTGAGTCACATCAGTTCAGCTCCGTTAAAGTGGCTTTCCCGGCATTTACATCCCCAAACTGAACGGCGGCAGGAAGAGTCGACAGCATCAAGTTAAGGCAATGACCTGCGAAATGAAGGATGAGCCCTGAAACAGCACATCACCACAGCTGTACTCCTCTCGTATCTTGTTGCCCTCTCTTTGTCTCATTAACGGGGGGGAGGAAAAAAAAAAAAAAAAAAGAACAAATTATCGACGAGCTGGTTAAAATTTCTCCTTCTTGACCACGCGGTGGGCGGTCGCGCGACAGCAGGAGCGCTAAAAGCCCGAGTAATTTTACGGAAAAGACGAATTTCTTCTCCTATTTTCCGACACTGGCGAGGCGAGCGACGGATGAGGCATGACTGCTGCGCGCTCCCGGCAAGCTCAGGCTCGTTCGCGGGTCAGGCTCTCCGTGGCCGTGGGAGTGAACCGCAATAAGAAATAATTCATGGAAAAGAGGTCAGGCATTTTGACAGAGCGAGAACTGCTCCTTCATGTTGCACATTTGCTTTGAATAAAAACAGGTCCCCTTCTCTCTAAATGAACACGAAGGCATAGGCTACTTTCATTAAAGGTCTAATTTGAATGAGTTTATTAAAAAGGGACTTCATTAGGCTTTGACTAAGAGATAACCAGATAAAATAAGAGGTGACAAATGCGGGTCGCTAGAAGTCTCTAAACTGAAACCATTTTTTTTTTTACCATAGCATCCATTTTCACTATCAAAACACTTTCAAGATGACAACTGCATCGGCCCACATATGTATCAGTGGCATTAATGCACATTATTTTCTCGTGTTTTTGATGCTCCTTTTAAATTGTCCTTGTTCATTGACATTAGGCGACTTGTTATGTAAGACTGGATGACTTCTGTAAGAACGGCGTTCCTCCCTCAGGGCTTAGATTGTACCCAGTGAGAAAACTAATAGGCCTGACATGAGAGGAGAGACACAGAGGGGTCCCTGGCGCCTTGGTTTTCGCCACTATTATAAGGATTATTTTTATTCTCATTTATTTGGTGGATGGTCTGATGAGTAGTGCACGCTCTCCTTGCTCCCCATTCATTAAAATGGATACACACAACCACACCTGGGAGCTGCCAGTGCAGTAGCCTACACAGCCAGGCTATTCAGCACTGAAGTGCTTTAAAAAAAGGAAGCTCCTCAAGATACTGAGGGAGGGGAGGAAATTTCCCCTGAGCTTCCCAGCTGATCCCATCAATACTTACAGCACCTAAAGATACACTGCAGCCTCAAGGTCTACACCCTTCTTGTTATTCAAATGCATAATGGCACTGCAGCTGAAACAATGCATTTTATTTAAATAAATGCTGTACATTTGCCTTATTTGCCCAGTTTAATTGCATATATTTAAGGGCAAGATTTTTTGGCACAAAAGCACAGTGAGAATTGTGCTGCAGAGAAAGACTTTCCCAAAAGATTCTTGTTTCCTCAGAGGGAAACATGAGTGCCAGAGGAGGAGGGCTTTGCTTCCTATGGTAAAATGAAACTTGAACCTGTTTAGAGTTCTTGCTACACGTTAGGGAATCCAAAGCACAAAATTACCTATAAAACAGATTTAAAATTATATTATTTTGAACAATCTTACATTCAGGTATGACATTTTTCTTACCAACTTAATTGCTGAGACAAAGGAAACTATTCCAACAGAAACCAGACAAACCTTCAGACAGTTCACAGTTGACTCCTGTTTTCTAAACTATATATACCACGGAAACACTGCATAAGAAAGATGTGTTTTTATATTTAGATGTCCTACCTCCATATGTGAAAACAAAGGAGAATAAAGTTTTCTGTATTACCCAAACCCCATTAGATCTTCCATAACACTTAAACCTGTTGCACTTTATATAGGTAATGCTTGCAGGTGTGTGTGCAATGAGCAGGTATACTGTTTTGCTGCATTAACTTTTGTGTGGTTTAGATAACGGGGATGAAGTAGGGGTTTGTTGAAAACCTGTCTGGTTGTCATGTTGCTCACCTTGTTTTACTCCACTGTAAAGTGCAAAAAAAATTCAGAAATACAACAGGGGCTGAGGAAAATCCCCTTTTGATGCAACAAAACCTGAGAAGATGGAAAGAAGATAAAGAAGCAAGTTGTGCTTGCAGCCATTAGAAATGTGTGCGAGAGAGAAAGAGCAAAAGAGAGGGAGGCTGTGAAGGGAAAAGAGTAAAAAGTTTCTCTTCATGATTTCACATTTTCTAACAACTTTAAAGCAAATGACGCACTTTGATTCACAAATGTGTCCAGAGCACCGTTTCAGTGAACAGCAGTGTTACATTTTAATGTGTCTGACTCTGCAGGAGCTGGTCCTAATCTACCTTTATCTCAGAGACTGTATGATGTTCATTATTAAGTAATGTGAGTCAGGACTTCTTCAGCAAATTGGTCAGAGGGTGAAAGAATTAGCAATCCATTTACAGAATTGCAATAGGCATCAATTAACTGGCATCCAAGGAGCAATTCAAACATATTTCTGGTAATAGCTTGAATCATTTTGGATAAAGCTTGTGTAACAAACTGTTTAGATTCAGAAATGTATTGGTGAATATGATGGTGTAGTCTCGTATGGATGTATTTTTTTTAGCACTATTAAGTCCATCATTAGAAGTGGACAGGAAGTTTGAGTTTGTTAAAAGAAGCAGAATGTCCGTCTCTAGCTTCTCCTGTGTGATGGTAGCTGACCTGGAAGTAAAAACTAACAGAAGGCATTCCCGCCCACTGGCTCTGCTGGCACCGGGCTGCCCTCCACTCTCACCGTCAGCTCCATGATCACACATCACATCACACACACACACACACACACACGCACACGCACACACACACACACACACACACACACACACACACACACACACACAGCAACTCGTGACTCCTTAACACTGTTTTGAATGTCCTGCTGATGTCCTCTTAGGATTGCCACCCCTCTGTGTGGAGGAGTGTGTGTGCCTGACAGTCAGAGGTAGCCTAATTTAGTAGTACTCCCAGTAAGGTCTCCTGTGGTTGTAAAAAAAAAAAGGGAGGTTCCAGGCCAGACAAAGTACGGCCCGTCACCTACTCCTCAGCAAGGAAAGCCCTGCTGGCTCCAAGCCCAGAGAACAGAGGAGGGATGAATGTAGGACTCATATCTCTGCTCTGTGAAGGTGTTCCAGGAAGAACAAAGAAAAACACTTTTACAAACAAAAAGGAAACATTGAGTTGGTTAACCATTCTCCATATGACGCTGATATTTTGGACATCTGAAACTTCTGCCAACAAACCTAACAGCGGTGTTGCCTCACGCAAATATTGACAGACTTATTATGACGTGTGACCTTGAAGTATAATGTGCACACGGTTCAGGTTTCTGTGTCTCATTTCATGTATGGAAGTAGAGCCCCTGCTGTCAGAAAATGACTGACGATGGAGTCGCTGCTGAGCTGTGCACACGCTGAGGGGAAAATGCAAAGCGGGTCACTTGGTAATGAAAGCAGAGAGTTTTCTCAACACCGCCTCACTTTATCATTTATCCTTCCTTCAGAGTCCTTAATGGTTTTTTCTCCTGTACCAGGGGATCATCCATCTTCTAAGTAGCCTCGTCAGTCTCTTTACTCTGAGACAGAGCAGTGAGTGGGCTGCTATCCCATAATTTAGGTGTGAAGATATGAGTGGACATATGAGATCAGCTTTTGCCTTCATTTCATTATTGTCTGGTGGGAAAAAAAGCAGTTTGACATGCAGCTTCCTCTGGTGCCATTGGCTACTGTTTCTAAGTGTACTGAATACACTGCATACTGCATGTGTGGCAGGGGTAAAGATTATATACATGTGACTTCAGTGATGCAGTTTAAAACAGGTTTCATCATCTTCGCTGCTACCTGGAAGAACAACATCTATTTCTGATAATGTCATCTCTTCTATTTCAACTCTGTTCCTCCACATGAGTAACCATGGTTACCATATTGTGTCACTACATATAAAAGCCAGCAGCTGCTACCAGCTGAAATGGCGGAAGACAGTAATGAACACTGTTGTGAATGACAAGAAATGACACTAATTTTTGAATGTTTTAATATCAGGAACAGTCTAGCATCTGTGCTGATATGGTACATCAGGCAAATGCTTTTCATTAAAGGTCATATTTCCCAGAAGTCTTATCTTGCCATCTAAGATGGATCCTGTCTCCCTGTCTTCTCCTTCTCCCACCAGATGCCTCAACTTCACTGGGGTTAAAAATAGATATATCCCCCCAGTGCATCTTGAGCCTAACTTTATTTTCACAAGGGAAATGAAAAGCGCACATACTGTGCTGGAGGGACTGAGGGGCAAAAAACAATAACCTTCAAGATCCAATGACAAATCAGTTTTTATCTGTGTAAGAAAAACAGCATGAGGAGGAACACATGTCCAAACAAAAAGGCATTTTACTGAGGTTTAGACCTGTGTGGCGCTCTGTTCTTCATAGAGCTCTCTCACTGGGCTTTAATCTTGTAATTTCTCTTTGGTTTTGATCTCACATTCGTTCCTTGCCATCTGTTGCACAGGGTGGAAGACTAACTACCCCTCCTGATAAATCAGATTCAAGTCTAAGAGTGTTCCCAGTACGCAAATGAACAACCATTCCTGCTAAATATTTAAACAGGAGTTTTTATGGCAAGTTATTAATCACAGCCATTTCAGTCCCTGTCAATATTGATATTGATTTCAGACTGACTGCTACTGACCTCAATTCATTTTTCTGATCTTTCTGAAGAAAAAGATGTATGTCCAGACACATTTTTTTATTTTTTTTGCAGTTCTGGTTCCTATCAGGCTGTGAGGAGTCCTGACATCTTATCTGCTGACACAGAGAGGGAGGCAGGGAGGAGAATAGAGCAGACTGAGGGACAAACGGAGTGAACGAGAGACGCAAGAAAGTGACATTACAAGAGAATGGAGATGGATGAGGATACGACGCTAACCAGGAGAAGGAAAGGAAAGCACGGTAAGGCAGAGCAAATGGTGGAGTTAGAGTGTGACAGACAGGCAGAGGAAGAGCGGAGAGGAGGGAGGGGGAGGGTGGGCGTGGGAGTGATGCAAGTTGAGTCAAAGCCCCTAAGCTCCCCTGATTTCTCTGTGAAAGACACAGTGCTGAAAAGATGGATAGTGTGTGCCCTCTCTGCCAAGGC